TGGCTGGAGTGGAGCCGGGCAGAAGGAATAAGGACACTGGCCCAGGATGTGGTGATGCCAAGAGCAGGGGAAGCCCAGCCGTCCTCGTAAGGGGAGTCTGTGAAAGCAGAGGAACTTATGTTTAAAAAGGCACCAAGGGGCGCCTGGGTGGCACAGTCGGTTAAGCGTCCGACTTCAGCCAGGTCACGATCTTGCGGTCCGTGAGTTCGAGCCCCGCGTCAGGCGCTGGGCTGATGGCTCAGAGCCTGGAGCCTGTTTCCGATTCTGTGTCTCCCTCTCTCTCTGCCCCCTCCCCCATTCATGCTCTGTCTCTCTCTGTCCCAAAAATAAATAAACGTTGGAAAAAAAAAATTTTTTTTTTAAATAAATAAATAAAAAAAAAAAATAAAAAGGCACCAAGTATTTATTTTCTCTTGTAATTACTCATTCCTTTTCCCCCCCTCTCTCCCCTGTTCTCCTTCCATTGCCACTTCTGCCACCTGGGCTTTTACTTAGCCCATGTTGCTTGCTTTCTAGCCTTTCTTCCCTCTGGCAGGTAATGGCCAGATCAGTCTTCCCAGGCCACTTTCTTCTCATCTGCTGATCAACCCGGGGTTGTGGTCGGTCTCCATTCTGCATGTTAAAGCTCAGACTTGAGGGGCCACCGTTCTCCACTGCATCATTTTCCAGAACTGCCCCACACAGACTCTAGTCTGAACGAGGGGGTTACTCACTGTTTTCAGGCATGTGTGGGGCCCTTGCCCTTCAGAACCTTGCTCAAGCCTGAACTGTCTCACTTCTAGTGCCTTCTCTCAAACCACTGGCATGGCAGTCCTTGCACCTCTCAAAGACCACCAGAAATCTGGAAAGTTGTTAACCTTTTGCCTATACCATTCATTCCTAGAGTCTTTCATTAAAAAGTGTGTTGAAAATATGCTTTGTACTAGCAGTTGTGCTGGTGCTTATGGAGACCAAGATGAAAGAAGAGAGTCTGCCTCAGGAGCTGAGAGTGCTGTGGGGAGACAGAGGATAATAAATTTAACATTTAGGTAAAACGACCTGGAATTTGTGTTAAGGGTCATGAGAGAAAAGAACACACCTCTCCGGGTCAGAACGCTGGGCTAAGATGGGCCCTGATTTGGATGGGGGGTACCTAATGTAGGAAGGGGTAAGGAAGTCAGAAAGTGTAACATTTAAGCTGAAGCTGGAGAATGAAAAATAGCCAGCTAAGGGAAGTATGATGTGGTGGAAGGGGAGCCTTCTAAGTAGAACCAAAACCATTTCAAAGGTCTGAGGCTGTGAAGAGCTTGGGAATATTGCAGGAGAAACGAAACTGAACAAAGGCCACGAAGGCTGGAGCATAGTAAGTCTGGTGAGAATGGCGCCGCGTGGGGTTGATGGCAGGACCAGATGATGCAGGCCTTGAAGGCCATGATAAGGAGTGTGGTTTTAAGTGCAATGGGAAGCAATTGAAGTGTTTTAAGCAAAGGCATGACATGATCTTATTTGAAGTTGAGATTGCCATCTGTTCATTAAAATCCATTTGTTTTTCTCCCTGGGCACACAACCAGATTCCAGTCCTGGGTTCTCTTTGCAGTGGGCTTTAGGCCATGTGACTCTATCCTATACTTAGAAGTAAGTAGTAGTGGTGAATAGCTACGTGGTAAATAGTGGTGAATAGCCCCTCGACTAGGGCTAGTTCGTAAAAACCTCCCATGTGGGCTCTTCAAAGTGTTTCCCTTCTGACTGGGCAAACTTGGGAGCCCACGTGGAAATGCTAGAACCACTGTCAGCCTGGACACCTGAAAGGCTATATGCAACAGAGTCCCCTTGCAGCTGACGTAGAACTGCCCCGAGCTTTTGTGTGAGCAAGAGTGAAGCACCTCATGTGTTGAGCCATTACACATTCTGTCCATTTGCTACCACATTCTGGTTTGTCTAAAATAATAGGATAGTGTGAAAGAGAAATTTTGGCTGTGGTGCTCTATGAGAATGTGAGACAGTGTGAACAATAGCAATGGCCTAAGTGAAGCCCCCATGGGGAATAGAGAGATTTCACTTGAAATAGATTTTAGATGATTTTGGGTATAGAATTAGCAGCTCCTACTGACAATTTGCTGTGTATAGTCAGCTTGTGGGGGGAAAAAACACTTCACTTGATTTGACTTTCAAGTGTGATATTACTTATTTTTTGGACTTACCATAACCTACCTCACTGAATACCTTTAGGCATATATTTTATTCATTTGACTAGCTTGCCCTAAACTAGGGAGCGAACAGACCATGTCTTTGAGAAGTTTTTATTTACTATGGTGTCTAGTATAGTGCTTTAGATAAGCTTCTTTTTTCATTAAACTTTGCTTAAGTTAATGAATGAAAGGGTAGGCTCTCCGAATTTTTGTCCATGGAGTTGTGTGACCCAGCATTGCCTTGTCATTGATGTCACCTCAGCCTGGCTTAAATTTTCATTGCCTTCTAAGGGAGAAGTTTAGCTGTATCAAATTTTTTGTGTTACCTGTATTTGCCCAGTGAGAAGGGAAACAGCATAAGGAAGCCCGCATGGGAGGTTTTTATGCGCCAGCCCTGTTCTTGGTATTCACCACTACCACTGACTTTCCTGGGTAGGATACAGTAACATGGTTCACAGCCAACTGCAAAAAGAGAGCCAGGAAATGGGATCTGGCTTAGTGGGGGAAAGTAATATCACGGGGCCTGGGATTTGAATGTTTGCAGTAGAAGGTATGTAGGAATGTTTTTTAAAGGCATGTGAGCTAATCCTCACTGCCTCCCCATCACTTTCAAGTGTCCCCACCAGCTATTGCCCATTGCGCAGAGTTGCTTCAGTGACCACTGTTTCCATCCACAGTCAGGCACTCATCTGGGAGAATCATTATGATTTATGGAAAGTCTCAAGATAGGAGGCAGTTTCCGTAATCCAAATGAGCAATGATGAGGTCTGTAACTAAGAAAGTGGTGGTAGAAATAGAAGGATGGGATAAGAAACTCAGAAACTTTATAGAACATGGTGACTAGATGGATTTGGGGCAAAGAAAAGACTAGAACAAGGATGAATACTGAAGCCTCATGCTGATAAACCTCAATTTGTAAACTTAAATATATATCAAAAGACCAGTGTTTTCAAGATAAAGCCAGTTAATGCTGCTTACCACCAAAGGGTGGCATTAGCATTGAGACTGGACATTTAAGCCCAGGACGTGGTACTGCTGGTTGATGCGTTATATATTTACTGTGTTTGTGCTTAGTTGGGATGTGTTTTGTGAACATTACTAAACCATACATGCCTGCTAAGGACAAAAACAGTGATGTTGAAATTACTGGTAAAAAGAGATACAAGAATAGGACACCAATGCTAAATAGATTAAAATGACAATTGAAAATCATGAGAAAATATTGGAAATTATATTCGACAGTAGGTAAAGATCTAATCAGGCCTCTTGTGAAAAACCCTGTATTTCACAGTACAGGAGTTGGGGAAGAGTAATTGACCAGATGAGAAAACAACTCCAAATATGGGAGCTGTGTTTGGAAGACCAGCATTACTATTGAAGGCCCGTTAGCTCAGTGTTCTTTTTTAATGAAGGCTAGAAGTTTGTTCAAGAAGCTAAAGACTAAGCATGGTGAAGGAAGTGTGCTGATGTTTTCTTGTGAGATGTGGTCACATAGGTTCAAGGGCTGTTTGTGCATACCAGGAGGTGGTTGTTGATGTGTATGTGGGGACACCTTAGCTTCTAATATTTCCCTGTGAGGCTTACACAGGGGAAGGAGGGGACAGAGTGAACCAGGTAGAAGAAGTCAGAATGGAAACTGGGGCACAGAGTTGAATGCAATAGAAAAGCTACAGTCAGAGGCACATTTGCTGAAAACAAATGCTATTTGTAGCGTGTACCTACCTTTCATTTCTGTGTTGCTCAACAGAGAGTGGTGGAGCCATTAGATCAACAGCTAGAGGGGATGAGAATCCGTAAGGCCCCGCCTATGTTCTATGAGAGCCAATGATCCGATATTTGAAAATATAGAATAAGCTGCGAGCCTCAGATGAAAAATATGACTTACTTCTAGATCCAATGTATATTTCTAAAATAATTATAATTCTCACACCGACACATTATTTCTTCAACTTGGTTTTCAAATAAGTATACTGAAATTTAAATTAATACTACCTATTAACGTATGACCTTTAAAGTAGAAATGTAAGCGGTAACTATTTGACTATAATGTGAACTTGACACCTAATGAACCAGTTTCAGACAAAACCATCATTTCTATTCAGCTAGAGTACTGAATATAGTCCTGGTATTTTCTAAGTAAAAGGTGAAACAGTCAGAAAAAGACTAAATATTAGAGAGGTAGAAGGCAATGAATACAAGGATAACCTTTTTAGTATGGAAGGATGAAACATGAGGAGGAAAAAACATGAGTAAAATCAAGTTAGATTAAGATAGGACAAATAGGAGTTAGTTCTTCTAATTAATAAATATTGGAAATGCAAGGTTTTTACTGAATCTTAAAGAGGCTATTTAAAGTGAGAAATAAATTTATTTACTGAGTGCACTATGGAACTCATTCTTCTCATACCATAATGGTTTAGAACAAAAATGTAAACGAGTTACAAAAAATGCTAAGCATGCACGTACAGATTATTATGGGATATTAGGAGACGTTTCTTGAGTTTATTTCCCCTGTAAGATTTCTTTTAGAGATAAAATACCTGTAGAATATATAAATGCACTTCTTCTGCAGTCTGATGAAATTTGTATGTTGTGTAATTTTCTTTTCTTACCCTAAATTTCTTATTATACCTTATGTGAATTATTTTATTCTTGTCATATATGAATTTCTGCCTTCTATGAACTACTTAACCATTTTAAATTTTTAGCCAAAAGTAGAAAGAAAAAGCATTCATTTTCACAAATTATATTCTTGCCATTTAAAAAGGTACTTGTGAGCTAAAGGTGGCAGATACTTCTTTTCAAAATTAACACATTTTATGCTTTCTCTAGGCTGGAATGATAAAAAGTGATAATGATGAGTATTTCATTGAGCCTTTGGAAAGAGGTAAGCAGATGGAAGAAGAAAAAGGAAGGATTCATGTTGTCTACAAGAGATCAGCAGTAGAACGGGCTCCTGTAAACATGTCGCATGACTGCTACTACGGAGGTAGGCATCTTTGACGAGGCTTAATAATTATCTGTAATTTTAAGGTATGATGAAAACAATTCTCCTAATCCATTGAGGGAATGTGACTGTCATGTGCTCTTGCATAATGTGAAGGTAGCAAGAGAAGTTTATAGATCATGAAATGTGGCCCGCCTTTTTTAAAACATGTAGCAGAATATATGTTATAGGTATTATTTTATTCTAGTGCAGTATTGTGTCCCTAACCAGTTATTTATGACTTCTTTTATAGTTTCACATTAAAATGATTTTTTCTGTAGCTTCTGTGAAAACTTGGAAATATTTTTGCCTTCTACAAGTATCTCAATTGTGTGTTATTAATACTATTTTCAAACTTTTAAAATGAAATATATTGACATGACAGAGAATAATAGATATGTCATAGACACATTTGCAAATAAGAATGCTGGGGCGCCTGGGTGGCTCAGTCGGTTGAGCTTCTGACTTCGGCTGAGGTCATGATCTTGTGGTCCATGAGTTCGAGCCCTGAATCGGGCTCTGTGCTGACAGCTCAGCCTAGAGCCTGCTTCAGATTCTGCATGTCCCTCTGTCTCTGCCCCTCCCCCTCTTGTGCTCTGTCTCTGTCTCTCTCTCAAAAATAAATAAACATTAAAAACAATTTAAACAAACAAACAAAAAAGAAAATAAGAAAAAAGAAAATAAGAATTTGACTTTAAGGTCTATTTTGCAAAATCATATTTTTACAATATGGAAGAGAGAATGAGTTGAATGTTCTGTCAACTTTTGCTTCATAATAGGCTGGACCACTAAAGTCAATGAAATTATGGCCTGGGAAGCTTTTCTAGTTTGTTTGCTTGTATGAAATCTGAAGGTAATTTGTTATTAAAGACATGTTTTTATAAGTTGAGTCTACAAGTTCCCTTTCTGGAAGAGAAAGGAAATTTGAGAATCTGTTTTTTTTAACCAAATTTCAGAAAGGCTATATTTATTTTTGCCAGGCCAACTATCTGAATTAGAGATAATAGAAATTTCCGCTAGGGAAATGTCAGGGATAGAAATAATCTTAATTTAATAATCTAGATTCTAGATTAATGATATCTTGCCTTTTGAGACTTATTACCTAGTTTGATTTTCAGATACCACCAGTTTCTGTTAAAATGCCATACTAGTGGGATAGTAGAGTTTAAAATAAATGTAAAAATTGAGGCACCTGGGTGGTTCAGTTGGTTAAGTGTCTGACTCTTGATTTCAGCTCAGATTATGATCTCACGGTTAGTGAGTCCTGAGCCCTGTCTTGGGCTCCGTTCTTGGGATTCTGTCTCTCCTAATGTCTCTCTTTGCCCTTCCCCAGCTTGTGCTTGCTTTCTCTCTCTCAAAATAAATAAATAAACTTAAAAGTTTTTTTTTTTTTTAAATTAACAAGACCTGAAGAATTATTGACAAATATCTGATTTGAAGCAACAGCACTGAATTAATAGACGCAATACTATGAAGTGTGTGCCTATCCTAGAAGGTCACTGTGATGTAATCAAAAGAGACCACACTGCATTTAGACAGATGCTAATAGTACCTCTAAAATTTCAAGTTCTTCTGTTATCTTAGATTAATATTTAACCTTTCTGAGCCTCAGTTTATCTGTGAATGAAGAATTAAAATATGTTGCACAATTATAGTATTAGAAATAGTATATGAAAATTGTTGAATGTAGCCCTCAACAATAACGGATGGTTAATCAATGGTAGCTGTGGCTGTTGTTATTGGTATTAACTATTAATATGAATTATTTTGGGCAAAGAGGTATGTGTTAGGAGTTTTAATTAAAAGTTAAACAGGCATTGCTTGCCTTCATGTTGTGAATACATTACTATTAGTTCTTATTTCTATTTTTCATGTTTGAAAAATGTCATTCTAAATCAGAAGACTGGTTGTATCAAAGGGTAGGTAGGAGAATACAGTACTTTTTCTAGAGTTTAATTCTTAATATCCAATATCTTTTGTGAGGCAATGGTTAAATATCTTTTTAAAAAGCATGGCCTACATGTTCTAGAATTGTATTAGAGGGCTGGAAGCCAGGTAAATCACTATGACTTTCCTCCCAGTTGCTCTTTCTGTCATACCTGTGGTTTCACCAAGAAATAGATGCTCCATTTCAGTGCCTAAAGGTATCCATCCTGGTACTTTTCAGTAGTATAATATTTACAGAGAAGGAGAGAAGATTTTTTTTTATTGAAATAAGACAGTTATGAGAAATATGATGTTTAATACCTATTGTATTTCTAGATACTAGATTAGGAAAAATAATTTAGTAGTCAGGGCATGTAAGTTTCAAAGAATTAGATTAGATTTAGGCAATATGGGGAATTTTAGTTTAGAAAATCATTTAAAATATCAATTCTAGTAGCATCAGCATCAACTTACTCAGATTTTATAATGAGTTGTTTTTAAGAATGCAGACACTAAAAACCTTATTTTTTTGTTTTTCAGTTTTGAATAGAAGATTACTTTGTAGCCAAATAGGCCACAAAATACATTTTGGTAAGGTTTTCAGCAATCATGGGTCAAAGGAAGAGGAGTTCCTTTGTTAATTCTCAATTACCTTAAAACTTGACCCAAAATAGAACATAGAATGTTCCATGATAAGCCTTAGTATGAACTTAACTTTTATTTTATTTATGAAGTTCTGATTGAACTGAGTTGCTGATGATGTCAATTTACTTCCTTTTGAGAATTTTAAATTGTAACCATGTATTTTAGAAATGGAAATGTCTTCCTAAGGTAAAAAGAGATTCAGATTTAGAACTTTAAGTACTATACTGTAACTTTAAAATTCTTCTTTTAACTTCATGGTCAAGGACTGAGAGCCAAGTTTTTTCATGGACTACATACTTTCCAAGTGGAATTAAGAATATATTCTTATACCTTATTCCATCATTCTAAAATGTAAAATTTAACAGATTCTGGGTTTAAAAAGCATATTGATTTATAAATGAAAACTATAGTATCATATAAAATAATGCTTTGTCTGGATCAATTCAGGTGATTATTTTAGGAGACACATGAGGTCTTTCTTCAATAAGTTATAAGAAGGGGATTAAAATACATAAGATGTACTTAGAAATGCATTTGAGGGACATGATCTTAAGTTTCTCTGACAACAGGTCATCAGGAGGAATTTTTATCATAAACAAGGCACTTCTGACCCAACAGAGTTTCAGCATTAGGGCCCCTGTAAATGAATATTTTGCTGTGTTTTGTGGGTTATCCCCATAATTGCCTGGCCATACATCTTGCTTTGTCAGCTTGGCAACTCAGAGCTGTCATTTATTTGAGTTCTCTAATTTGGTGCGAGTATTTTATATTAAAACCAGTTATAACCTGAACTAGGTGATAATAGTGAGATGGAGAGAAGGAGCCAAATTGGATTGAGACTGAAGTGAAACTGACAGATTTATATGATGCAGAATATATCAGGGATGGAGAGAGAGTAAAGAAGGATGACTCAGAATCCTAATCTGAAAGACTAGAGGATTCTCTTTTCAGAATTCAGATATTTAAAATGAGGAACAGAAATAGGCTTGATGGAGAATGACAAGTGTATATGTTTGGATATATTGAGTCTGAAGATCCATTGGAATAGTGAGTGAATAAAAAATGCACAGTATGTTTTCATAATCATGTCTCAGAGTCAGTGAATGAATGCCCTTTACATGTTGAGGTAGGGTAGAGGTTAGCTTGGAGTCAGGGGGCAAGAATTGGCTTGTGGATGCTTGGAATGTCTCTGCTTGCCTTCCACTCTCTCTTTAGCAACTTCATATCAATGAGAATCAGAAGGTGCACCTTGCACAAGATTAGAAGCCCATGAAAGATGTTTGCTACCAGCACTATAGGAAAGGAGGATGTTTCATCCTTAAAACACAAAAACAAAGCTAAAAACAAAGCAAAAAATATGCTTCTGCATACTCAATAACCCTAAGCTATTCCACTTGACTAAAAGTAAACATCTATTTTTATTCTTTATCCTCTTAGAATATTTATCTAGGTTTCCAATAAAAGTCACAGCTTTGAACCTGTTGAGATAATATATTATCTCAACCATTTCCATATATCACACAGATTTTCTTTCATCAACTCTTTTTTTTTAATTTTTTTTAATGTTTTCATTTATTTTTGAGACAGAGAGAGACAGAGCATGAGCAGGGGAGGTGCAGAGAGAGAGGGAGACACAGAATCCAAAGCAGGCTCCAGGCTCTGAGCTGTCAGCACAGAGCCTGACATGGGGCTCTAACTCACGGACCATGAGATCATGACCCGAGCTGAAGTCAGACGCTTAACCAACTGAGACATCCAGGCACCCCATTTTCCTCAACTCTTAATAAGGAAATTGTATTGTTTTTGAAATCTGAAAAAATGTGAAGAACTGTTTGAAAATACATTGAACTTGTAAAATCACAGATGCAGTACTCTGCTTTAGAATTACTGTTTTAAGACGTAAAACAGTGTTACATTTGGCAATATAAATGATCTCTTCCAGTGCAGAATTGGCAGGTGTTTATAACACATAGTACTGCCAGTTTCTGGCAAAGAAGTTCCATCCTTTGCATTAAACAACAAACATAAACTGTGCATGTTTATGACAAAAAAACTTGTCTACTTCATCATTGGGGGAAGAGTTGAATTTACTTCTTTTTTTGATTTCTGCTTTGGGAGGATGGAAATCACATCCATTTTTGGACATTTAGTTTGGACAAAATTATTTTATATTTTGCTGGTTTTGAAATTTCACTTGGGAGTGTCCTGGTTAATCAACCAATAAAGGATCATAAAGTTCACCTCCACTGTTAAATCAATCATTTGAGTTTAAACTCAGATGAAAAACAAAACATACCCCTGATCATCTCTTAAGAATGTCTACATTGTTGTCAATAAAAGTTTGCTTTAGGCAGTCTATTTCGGGGGGGGGGGG